AAACTGTGACATTCACCAGCTGCTCACATCCGAACGCTGGGCCTGAAGCAGCAAGGTTAAAATGATAGCGATAGGTGAGAGGGATGTGGAGGAGGGAGTAGAAGGGGCGGGGGGGGGGGGTTCAGATGACCTTCGCCCAGGAAGTCAAACCAAGGAATAGAAAGTGGGGAAGAAATAAAAATGGACATATGGTTGAGGTGGGAAGGGAGTGTGAGCACAAGGCCACATGGTCTGCTGTAGGATGATGGCTGATGTGTGGAGCAGCTATAAGGATGTTGCGTTAAGGAAAACACGGTTACTTTGGAACTAATTGGACATTGTTGCTTACACAAATAAACATCTCTCCTGGCTTCCAAATACCGTCTTTGGAAATACAATCACTGCTCGGCGGCCATTTTACCCTCATCTTTGATCCAACAAATGAACAATTAAACAGGCTAAAGTTTTTTACTGGACCAATTGGACATTATTCATCGTGTGGTGTTGACCACACTAAGCGAGACCAACACATCAAGACGAGTGAGTATCGAGACTGAGACAAGACCAATACATTTGGAAGTCGAGACCGAGATTAGACCAAGACTGTCTATGCCCCCCCCAAAAAAAAATAATAATTACAATTAAAAAGAATAAATGGCCCGTATATTTTTTTCGTTATGTCGGCAAAGAAAAACAAACCAACACAACAACAAACGTGCATGTAACTTTGTGCAAACAAGCATCAAATTACTGAAGCCAGAAGAACCCATCATGCATCACTACATAGTTCATATTATACAAATTTTACCACACACACACACACACACACACACACACGCACACACACACACACACACACACACACACACACACACACACACACACACACACACACCACTGATTACAACAGTACTGGCTTGTTTTGGACCAGTCTTAATCATCCAAAAACCCAAGTCCAATCTGTCCAAGAGCGAGACAGGACAAGGTAAAAAGGCATTTGATTCTAATATGAGACCAAGAACCTTAAAAAGTAGTCTCGGGACCGGTCTTGAGAGCAAGACCGATCTCGAGAACTTCAAGACTAGTGTTGTGAAATGCAAAATTGTCCTTACTTTACTTTCAGCGTTGTCTCGACCATCTACAGGCGTACGGAACTCCGGTTCCTTGAGAGACATATCCTGCCTGTTTTAGACCCCTCCCTACGCCAACACACCTGACTGAAATGATCAGCTCATCAGCGAGCTCTGTAGAAGCCTGAAACAATTATGGTCAATTGAACCAGGTGTGGCGGAGTAGGAAGAGCTCTAAAACAGACAGGAAATGGCTCTCGAGGAACCAGAGTTCCCTGCCCCTGATCTAAAAGGTAAGGGTACCCCACCAAAACGTCTCAAGTGCACTTTCAACTGATGTCTATAGCAATGTTCTCAGACATTGACTGAGAAGGACAAGGACTGGGCAGATGAACTGAACAGTTTTTTCAACCGTTTCGACAAGACGTCTGTCCCTTCCCCCAACCACCAGCTGCACCCACTGTCACTGACGACTTCTTCTCCTCCCCCCTCCTCTTTTTTGACCTGCTCACAACAACTCAGTCTGTCACCTGGTTCCTGCCTGTCCGTCACAACAGAACAGGTGAGGAACCAACTGAGGAAGATGAATGTGAGGAAGGCAGCAGGTCCAGACAAAATCAGTTCCCGGCTCCTCAGGACCTGCTCTGACCAGCTGTGTGACATTGTCCAGCATTTGTTCAACCTGAGCCTGAAGCTGGGCAGAGCTCCACAGCTGTGGAAAACTTCGTGCCTGGTCCCAGTGCCCAAGAACCCCCACCCTAAGAAGCTGAACAGCTACAGACCGGTGGCGCTGACGTCTCACCTGATGAAGACGCTGGAGAGACTCGTCCTCGCTCACCTTCGACCGCTGGTGAGCTCGGCACTGGACCCGCTGCAGTTTGCCTATCAGTCTGGCATCGGAGTGGAAGACGCCATTATCTACCTCCTCCACTCAGTGCTGTCTCACCTGGAGAAGGCTGGGAGCACTGTGAGAATCATGTTCTTTGATTTCTCCAGTGCCTTCAACACCATCCAACCCAACCTACTGAGGGACAAACTGCAGAACGCCGGAGTGGACCACCATCTCACAGCATGGATTATAGACTACCTCACAAACCGGCCGCAGTTCGTAAGGGTGCAGAGCTGTGAGTCGGACAGGCTTCTCTGCAGTACGGGAGCGCCGCAGGGGACTGTTCTGGCTCCATTCCTGTTCATCCTCTACACCTCGGACTTCAGACATGCCACTCCAAACTGCCACCTTCAGAAGTTCTCCGATGACTCTGCGATTGTTGGCCTCATTACAGAGGGGAACGATCGGGAGTACAAGCGACTGACGAAGGACTTTGTGGACTGGTGCCAGCAGTATCAACTCCAGATCAACCCTAGGAAAACTAAGGAGTTGGTTGTGGATTTCTGCAGGCAACAGTCCTCACCAGCACTGATGAACATCCAGGGTATGGACATAGAGAGGGTGACCTCCTACAAGTACCTGGGTGTTCTTCTCAACAACAAACTGGACTGGTCGACTAACACGGACACCCTGATTAGGAAAGGTCAGAGCAGACTTTTCCTACTCAGGAAACTGAGGTCTTTTGGGGTTCAGGGGTCACTCCTTAAGACTTTCTATAACTCGGTGGTGGCCTCGGCCATCCATTATGGCATTGTCTGCTGGTCAGGCAGCATCTCGGCCCGGGACAGAAAGAGACTGGAGCGACTGGTCAGGAAGGCCAGTTCTGTCATCTCGGCCCGGGATAGGAAGAGATTAGAGCGACTAGTCAGGAAGGCTGGTTCTGTCCTGGGCTGCTCCCTCGACACTCTGGAGGAGGTGGGCAACAGCAGGATGCTAGCTAAGCTAAAAGCTATGTTGGACAGTCCCTCCCACCCCCTCCAGCCAGCCCTGACAGCACTCGGTAGCTCCTTCAGTCAGAGACTGTTACACCCGCGTTGCAAGACGGAGAGATACCGCCGCTCGTTCCTACCGACTGCTGTCAGGCTGCTGAATAAAAAATGAATAAATAAATAAATCATAGAATTATTTAAATGATATGACAACATATGTGAATAGTACTGTGACTATTGTATTATATTGCACTTAATTATTGACCTTATCCATGTTTGTATTTACATTGCACTTAATTGAACTGTGTTTTCTTTTCTCTTCTTTCTACCCACAATCTTGCTGCTGAAGGCTGTAAATTTCCCCAGTGTGGGACAAATAAAGGATATCTAATCTAATGGAACCTCCTTCACATGAAAAGAAGCTTTTCTGTTAGCTGATGGCCTGCTAGCAGCAGACCCGCTTAACCTGAAGATGTTTGATAAGTCAAAGTTGGATTTCTGTGTTTACATGTGAACAAAATGACTAGTGTATAGATTTCTGTGGGTTGGTTACTGCTTCACTTCAAACTACACACGCGGTCTGCTTGTTAGGAGACTGAAATTGTTTTTTGTAGCCTCGATAGTGGCTCAGTGATGTAACCATGTAGGGTGGCTCTTCTCTATTTTGACATCAAAAGGAGCGGGTTTGTCACTCTTTTGATAGAATGATTTCTGCTGGGGGAAATAAGTGACTGCAAAACCCATTTTCAAGGTCAACGGTGCAAATCAGACACATTCATCTCATTTTTGTGCGCGGAGGATCTGTTCTTTTTATCATAAAGCATGCTGCACCGTTTTGAAAACAAATAATCCACCACCATTAATCAAGATTTCAATTCTTTTTTTTTTAATAGTTTGACCACATTATGAGCTGCGATTACATCACTGTAATCGACAGTGTATTTGATCTGAAATAATAATGACATCTGTTTCATGTCATCGGTGCTTTTTAATTTAACACCACGCGTAACTAAAGATTATTTATTCTATCTTGCTCAATTCTATTGATGGCACGATATTTTGTAAATATTACTTAAAGAAAAAAAAAAGAGAAAGCAGTGCGCCAATGAGGTAAAAGCCTTATTTAACTCTTTATTTACAAAAATGAAAAGTGAATGTAAAACACACACACACACACACACACACACACACACACACACATACACACACACTGGCATGCAAAACAGCATTGTACAAGTCTCATTCATTAAAAATGACAAAACTCAGTGGTCCATTCAACAAGCTGGTTGCTGACTGGCGAGAACAGCCGGACGTATTTTATATGAATTGTAGCATGATTGATGAACGTTATGCTTCCAAGATATCTATTCATCATCTAATAATCTCCTTGTCCAAAATCAATTATAGCGTGCGGGGCAGTGGACTGAATGAAGATGTTCATTTCCTATTGTCATTAGGCAAGGCCTTCATGTGAGAGCTAACTGCACCAGGTCTCAAAAAAGACATCTATTCAGTCATTCATCACAAGGATGTGCACTACGGTAAATAAACACTGCCACACAAACACAATTACAGATCTATTTTGGGGCAGGTGAAGGATCAGTAGAATTATTATTATTATTATTATTTTATTTTTATTTTTTTATTAGTACAGAAATGACAAAACAATTCTCGCATCTCTTCCCTTCTCCAAAGACTTTCCCATTAGCCCGAGATGATCACAAATTGCACAAACCTTGAGTTTATCTTTTTGCTTCGGCGGTAAACTTGCACCCTGTGGTTCACAAATGAAAAAATATCAATCGGCAAACATTCACATGTAGAAACTGATTCGACACAACTAGTCCACCATATGAGAAAAGCAGAAAGGCTTCTGTGCTTTGTTTTAAAATGACCACCGATTTGGTCTTTTTCACAAGAAAGGAGAAACATTTTAGATGTGGTATTGGTTCAATGTTTTCAATCAGAAACTATATTACAGTCATTTCCAGCCCATCTATTTACATCTTGTTCTTCTCAGTCCTGCACTTTTTATCCCGACCTTTTTTTTTTTTTTTTTTTTTTTTGTTTAACATGACACGCACATCAACCGCCCTTTTTTTTTTTTTGTGATTAACACGACACGCACATCAACCGCCCTTTTTTTTTTTTTGTGATTAACACGACACGCACATCAACACATTATTCCCTGCTGTTGTTTTTGACACTGCCTCGCACAGAACATGAACATGACATATTTTCTTTTATTATTATTTTTTTTTTAGGAATGATGATTTTATTATTATTTTTATGTTTTTTTTATTGGCTTGTGCAACGATGCAGAGTATGCGCTCAGACACTCGTGAATGCCATCGCTGCCACTGTGAATTGTTCGGATGTGAAAAATGCAAGTAATTTGCATTTTCATGATTTATTCGTCACACGCCTGAAGTGTGTGGGGGGGCGGGGGGGGGGGCCTTTGCTGAGGTCATCCCTCAATGAAATAGCGCGTCAAGTTAACGTCAGGATTGCTGATTGCATGTCGTAGTGCACACGAACGCACAACTGAGGCTCAAACTGCTTGCAGTGCTTTCCCGATAGAGTGTTGCTGTGCGAGACAACTGTAATCACAGCTTTGTGTGTGTTGGAGGACTTTTAAATGTGTGTGGACACCCTGCCGTCCATAGAGCTGGACCTGGACAGATACCGGCTGGTGGTGCGACCATCATCCCCCATGGCATTCTCCATCTTTGACAGCAAGGAGGTCTTACACCTTTGCTGGAAGTCATTACCCATAAACACATAGAGCACCGGGTTGAGGAAACTGTTGGCCGCCGCCAGGCAGGTCCCGACCTGCGTTCCGACAGTTAAGATGTAATGGTTGTGGTGTTGCTGATTGACTTCAAGCAGAATGAACACGTGGTAGGGCAGCCAGCAGATGAAGAAAGTAGCGATGAGCGCCGTCATGACTTTGAAAGGTTTGGACGATTTGGTCATCCTGTTGGTCCGAAGTTTCAGGATGATGACCGAGTAGCAAACGCTGATGACCATGAAAGGCACCGCAAAGCCTCCCACAAAGCGACTGACTCCGATGATTTCGTGACTGTGTTGGTGGAACGTGTAGTTGTTGTAGCAAATGCTCCTGCCCATTTGATGCTTAATGTCGCGAAAAACCGCCGAGGGAAGACTGAGTCCGATGGCAAGAACCCAGGCCAGGATAACAATGACCGATGCCTTTCGTACCGTGCGGTGGTTCTGGGCCCAGACGGGAAAGATGACGGACACGCAGCGGTCGACGCTAATGACGACCAGGAGGAAGATGCTGCTGAACATGTTGAGGAACAACACGGACGAGGTAAACTTGCACAAGAAGAGTCCGAAGATCCACCTCCCCATGGCCATGTTGGTGATGAGGAATGGAAGAAAGATGCAGAAGACAAAGTCCGAGATGGCCAGGCTCAGGTACCACGTAGTGTTGACCGTCTTCTTCATTTTGAAGCCAGAGATCCAGATGACCAACGCATTGCCGCAGGAACCCAGCAGAAAAATGGTTGTGGTGATCACCAGCAGAGAAACACAAAGGGCATCTCCCGTGCAGGTGGATTTGTGCAGAAACACCGACTCCTCGTGTGGCATGAGGTCGTCCTCATCGTATGTGTAGTTGCCGAAATCTTCATAAGTAAAATCTTCCATTTTCTCTCGACAGAAGAGAGAAGATTACTGCGGGGAAAAAAAAGGGGGGAAGCACATGAGGAAATCCAATGTGACAGCTGAGTACGTTATGTTCGAGTCTCAGTACAAACCTGCCGCTACTGTTGACTTGATGCCGCCCAGTGAACGAATGTCGGCAGAGCTGCGCTGGTTCCTTCATGTCATGAAGTGTTGAGCAGTCAGCTGACCGGAAGGTTTCTCAACACGGCCATCGCCAGCGCCTCAACACTTTCAGTACTGCTATTTGAGTTTTTCAACTATGCACTTAATGCAGAAGTCTATTAAAGGAGTGGCCCGGACATTTATATATATAGTACAAGCAGTTCGTCATCATACGCCCCCTTTCCGAAATAAAGAAATGCCATAAACCGAACTATTGTTACCAAAGGAAAAAAAAAAGGGTGAAGCAATCATGTCCTTTTTCTGTCTTGTGAACATGAAATGTATAAAATATTCACCCGTGCGGTTGTCAGAGTTTTGGGAGATGGCTCTGATGTTTAGGGAATTGGATGCTTCTGTGTTGTGTGCCAGAGGCCTCTTGTCAGCCACATGTGTTTGTTCAAAGCTGACAGAAGAAGACTGCACATGGGAGCGCGGTGCTCAGAAAGCCGTCAAGCATCGAGTGGCTTGAAAGCAAACGGAGCTTTTAACCACATTAAAACACACGTGGACAAAACTGTTGTCCTCTTATGTTAGTAATCCATCCATTCAATTTCTATTTTTATCCCGGAACCTATCGCCCAGCTGACTTGACATCCTGGATCGGTCGCCAGCCAGTCAGTCGGCGTCAGTGGGGCATTGGTGGGCAAGGCGCCACAAATCATACTGTGCCCCCCCTGCCACCGCTTTTTCATGCCGCACGATCATTAGCATGTTCAATGGATACATCTTTTTCAGTCCCCTACAGTGAGATTATGATAAAAATACAGTAAAAATGAGGAAAAAAGGTGTTGCCATTTCATATGTTGCAGTAGCAGCTGATCAATGAAAGAAGGTGCTAGGGCACCTCCCCACCATGCACGCACAGCGGTCACATTACTTTTTTTGAAGAGTAGAAGTTCATTAGTTAAAAAATAAAAGATATCTGAAAATATATGTACTGTCGATGAAAATTTCTTTCCAAATGAGCAGGAGAAATAGTAAGGAGTTAATGACGTGTGCTGTCTGATTAATGACACATTTCCGGTGTGGGGCACACTCATTTTTATCGATTGACTGTTGTTAAAAGTTTGACATGCACAGTATTTTCTTCTTCAATCCAATGGATAGGAATACATGCTACATGTGCTCTGCTGCCGAAACGGAAGCAGGTGAAATATGAAATCTGGAGATGGCATTCTTCAGTCCTTCAAGGAATAGGCCAAAATACCCGTCACCAAGTCTACGGAAGTTATAACAATCGTTTGTTTGCAGCGATATCCTCAAAAAGTTGTGTCACAAGATATTAAGTTGAGAGGACCATCACTTTAGCGCATACAACTTTATTTGTCTTCGAACATTTGTCAGTGTCAAGTTATTTCAGTGAGCACTGTGAGTTTAAATTCTTCAACGGAGGATATACCAATTATTTTATCCAGGCAGGTGTTACTCTGGAAATCAGCCAAAACATTTCTGACAATATATTTTTTGTCATATATAACGAGCCTTCGTCATTAATAGGGAAATTGCGCCTAAAGTGTCTTCTACTCTTATTGACGTCTTTGATCCTGAAGGCAACGGGGAACACGCGGGGACTTGCAAGCAAACTATAATGTTAAGTGGTGGAACATAATTAATATAACACACTCCTTTTTCTTTCTTCTACATGCCACTCTACAAGGCCGGTTTCTTATAGCATAGACCACTAAAGATGGTGCACAGGGTTGTCATGGCAATAACTGAGAAACTATTCTCTTTATTACGAGCCACCCTCTCAATGATTCAGGGGTTGTTATTCTAAGGGAGAATTGCAGCTGTTTCTCCAAACTTTTCACTCAACTCTACCTTTGTATTTTCTCGGAATAATTAGCTTTTAGAATTCACAATATAGCACTAATTGCAGTAAAAGAGCTTTTTTTTTTTAAATATTCGTATTATACCACTATTTTTCCATCCACGATCATTTTGACTTATCTTTCTTTCTTTTACATTTAAAAACGTTGGCTTCAAAAGCATTCGATTGTTCCTGTACTGCTCTGTAATTGTACAAATGTCAGTAAATCTCACAACACTGATGTTATTGTCTTTGAAGCTACATGTATAATATAGAGTACAAATATATATTGTCTTCATATGCATTTGAACTCAAACTGCATCCCACTTACAATCATAACACAATGTGTTTTCACATATGTATACATACAGTTGCAAGAAAAAAAATCTGAAAATGTGATCTGGTCTTCATCTAAGTCACAACACTAAAAAACACAGTCTGCTTTAAATACTAGGAGGATTTCATAGATTTATTGGGCACACCATGGAAACTTTAACAGCGCAGGGGGGGAAAGTATTTGAACCCCGGCCTAGGCTAATGATTTATCCAAGATCTAAGTGAAGTCCGGAGTCAGCCAAACTTGAGTCCATTCGATGGGACCTGCTTGGAGGTGTTGGTTGCTCAGCACTATAAACACACACCATATTTTCAACATTCTCAAGAAACATTGCCCGATGTGAACCGCACAAAAGGCCTCTCAGATTTACCAACAACTGGAAATTGTTAAAGACTCACAAAAAGTATCTTTATGTTCATCAGCCCTTAGTAAAACAGACTGGCGATTAAAAACCCAACGCCAACGGCAAGTATGGAAAAGGTGGCATCATGGGCGGGTGAATGCTTTGCTACCTCAGGGTCTGAATGCATTTCATCATCAACCACAAAAAAGGAAGCCCCAAGTTTTGCAAGCCATTTTGCAACTTAAGACCATCTGTTTGCTCCATGAAGATGGAAGATGCTAAAGGACAGAAGTCAATGAATGAACTTAAATAACTTCAACAGAAGAAATATACACAAAGACCATTAAATATTAAATCCAAGAGTCACATACATTTTCCAACCTGCACTGTGACCTTGACATGTTGTGTTCATTAAAAACATGGAAACATTTTTTGTGCGGTATTCGTGTAAGAAAACCGCGTTTGGCTTTTGCCGCAAATTTTGATGCATATCAGATCGTATTTTCCAATGCATTTTTGATGCACATATTCAGATCATTTCAGATGTTACACATAGTGAACACTTTCTTGCAATTGTGGAAACACTCAATAATTTTAGAAAAGTAATTATCCAATTGCACCCTCTTTACACTCACTTGTATGATGTGTACCTAATCATCTGTCCGCTGAGTGTCTTGCGCGTAATCAACACAACGTCATGTTAATAACATTGACACTGGACTGTTAAAAGTCTTTTTTTTTTCAAGCTCCAGCTCCCACTTTGCTTGAACCTCAACTAAGCGAATCATCTTTCTTCATTTCTTCACCTGCCACTCTTTCTTCCTGCCGCTACACTGGTTCACCACATTTCCGTCGTGAACAAATCCTGTTCACTGACACCCCAGGGGGCAAAAGTGACCTTCGATTTGATCATAATGAGATGATTTGGTGGCGAGGGCTGTGTCGCAAAGTGTCACAATGCACTGAACTGACAAAATTAGAATCGTGGTCTCCTAGGAAACTGATGAAGCGCCTAATGGAATTGATGTTGACAAATCCTAACGGCATTTGAATGCGTCTAGCTTTCTTGGCGTCCTTTTTCATAAAAGAAATTGACAGAATCACTTCTTGCCGCTGTTACAGTGAGTGTAGTTGCCCTTGCAACATGCTCTTTTGGAGCTTGTTTCTCTGCTGGGATAGTGATTATTTTATTTCTGCTCGAATCACAGAGGTTCTGTGGTTGTACCGAGTCGTAATTGTTCAGACGGATTCAGCCATCCACACTGTTTGTGGCTTCTCCCGAACACGAGAATTTTCGCAGTAAGCACATCCGCTTGAAGAAGAAGCACAGATGACAAAGTTCTGCCATTTCTAAAAGGTTATGATGAGTGAAGACGACTGCAATGTGTACTGACGGTTGGTTCCTTATCCCTCCCCTTTTTCCAGCCCTTCCCCTTGATGAATAAAAGAGATGGATTAACATCAAGAGATTTTCAAGTGAAGATAACATGATGGATGGGGAAACAACATTTCCACATACATTTAGTCAAGAACATAAACCCCAAAGCTCTCATCTGCTCAATAATTTAGATTACCAGGCTGAGAATACAAGATCTAATATAGATAAATGAGAAAAAAGGCTATTCTAATAGATTCTATTTATCTTATCGCTGACATTTCTACGCTCCACAAAAGTGTACTTTTATTGGTGTGTGTGTGTGTGTGTGTGTGTGCGCTTGCATATTCATAATTTATCCTCAGTCCAAATGTGATAAACATTTTATGAAAACTTTCTTTTGCATAGAAAAGGTATTTTCACACCCCTTACAATTCATGCTTGATGTGTTTCTTCGGCTACCAGAGAAATGAGTCGATCCTTTCCCATGCATGCCCCACCATCCTGCATAGTTACGACTTCTACAAAAGCGCGCTAAGGTGCTAGAGTTCAAAACGAGTAAAACAGTTGAGTGATTAAACAGAAATATAGGGACAACATGGAATCTTCACTTGTGACTGTGGGATTTTTTTTTCCACCCAGAAGAAAAAAAATTGTGAGGTACAGACCCACAATCACTGTTGGGGCTTATCCCAAAGGTGTTAAACGTGTTGAAGTCTTTGTCTTTGTTGGTGATGTCACATGAATTGGTGGCTTCTTGCGGAGTGGACATTGAAATGTTTCCACGTCTAGATGAAGTAACATTGAAGAAGCTCAGTTCAGAATTCTGCGATGGATGAGGTTCACTGGGGCCATTTTTAAATAGACACGTTGCAGGGACAACATATGCAACGTGTTGAAATGAAGAAAAAAAAAAAGTAGGCAGTAAGTCAAACATAATCAAATAAGCAAAAAGAATTGTTGCCGGATGTCAGTATAGTCAACAAACATTACTCCTTAAAGCCAGACATTTTTTTAGCATGCAATATGCAGTCAAGGAGTTTATGTGCTTGGAGAATCAAGTTGAGTGGTTTGGCTGCGGCGAGGATGTGTGAGTGCCTGGCCCGCAGATCAATGCGCAATAACAAAGTCATGTAAATATAAAACCACATGTCTCTGGGGGGTGTCATAATAACGAAATATCTGTTACAGGGCTGTGCACTTGGAATTGTACCTCATATGTGTACTCTTCTTTTGAAG